GCCAGGGGGATATTTATGTCAATGCCCTACTGGATTTGGGACATTGATGCCTGGACAAACAAAATGCATAGGTTTTCTTATTTAAAATATTATTTCAATATCGTATGATTTCATGGGATATTAATTATTTTAACAAAATAATTTAGCTTATATCAGAGATCGATATTGGAGAAATTTTGCGATAACTACAGCAATAATTATGGGCACTTTGTTTTTATTGGCTCTTGCTCTTCTCGCTTATTTATGCTTTTCGTAAGTTACACATATATAAATAAGTCAATATTTACAATTACATAAAAATATAATTACGCAAATAAATAATTACATAAATTCATATTTAAAATAATACTTTTCTTGTTATGTTGTTGATTGGATAATTCTTGGTCTAAAGTACATCTCGACACCTTTCATAAAATTTTGTTCTTATTAATAAAAAATACTGCCTCTACATTCCTTTTTGCCCTTTTCCTAGATTTTTTTCCTATCTCTCCTTAATCATTGTTTTACGTTCAATGTCCATGTATTAGCTTATTGAGAATGATATGTATTAATCCTTTCTTTACATGTTATATATTAATTAATAAAGGAATTACGCTAAAAATTTTTTAATTAAATATAATTTTTTATAAATCTGGACTTTTATAAAACACAGTTATATAAATTGTGATATAAATTCAATATAAAATTATCATTATCCTCACCGGGTTTAAGGCGTTTTTTACTTTCTTTTTCAAAGGTGTTAGTCTTTGTTTTTGCAGAAGGAGCTTTCTAATTTTTTCTACTGAATACATCTCATATGCTCCAAATTCTTTGTATAACTTTTAAATTTTCCGGTAAATGGTACAATATTTTTTCCTCAACCGCAATCGTTTCTTAAATTTTCAATCTCTTTGTTCTCATTTGATCATTCTTAGTGCGTTCTATTTTAGTTATGTTCACTATTTTTATGAACCATATCTCCAAACTATATGTTATTGCCTGGAGAAAGAAATGAAAATACGTCATTTGGTTAAGGGACACATAATTATGGATTATTATGGAAACCAACTCATGGAAACTCTTTTATGCAACCTCAAATTTAAATTTTATTAAATATTCTTCTTCTCTTTTCCTAAACATGGTCAATAAATTCCAGCATCTTTTCGCCATCTGAATTACTATAGCCTAGACTGTAACCTCCCTGAATACGCTTATACCCTTCAGTCATATCTCTTATGAGACCTTGTTTAAACCTCTCCTAAGAATGTAAATTATTCGGTGGAATAATATTTACTCTATTGACAAATTGATTTTAAAAAGAAATTGATTTCAAAAAGTTATTTTTTTCAAAATCAACATGTTTTGATATATTTTTTACCTAATTACTTTTTTCCGACGACAATAACCTCAGTCATCAGTACTTTAGTAAAATTTCAGGCATATTTTTTTATGTTCGCTTAAATGATTTTAAAGTACAAATCAAATTTTTCCCGAGTACTAATAGTTTAAATATTAAACCTGTCCACACGCCTGCATATTTTAAAAAAAATTATAACCAACTTACTCGCCCGCCCACTTAGATGAGCAGGCTTAGCGAGCGGGCTAAAAACTCGACCAATGCAGACCTCTATTTCCTGCCACCCCTTTTTAATCATGGTAATTCTAAATCTATCCCTTAATCATACCAGCTGCGCTGAGGCAGAAGGCCGGATTTATTTTTAGGGAGTGGGGGAGAATATAAAGTCACGTTTATCTGTATGAAACAGTAATAATGTACAATTATTTTATTTATGAAATTGTGTTATAATCAACTAAATTTAGTCTATAATTTAATAAAACAATGGTTTCACTTTTTTATATTTTATATTACAAATTTTTTTTTATTCAGAAATCCTTCCGCAAAGAAAAAATTATTTTACAATAATTCGTCACCCAGGTATGTGATGGACTCTGCCTCAAATGACACCACGTTTGATAAAATTCCAAGACCCAGGGTATCTACTATTCCCTATCGAGGGGATGACGATGTTTAAAATATACTAAATTTTATTTTTAATTATTGATTTATACTATTGGGTTAAATTTTTGAATATCTTGTTACCAGTCGTCAATGCCCAATGAATTAATAAGTATGAATTGTAACCCACATAAATCAATCTAAAAGACTGTTAGTTCGTCTTTATTTTTGTTCAGAATTCAGCATTCTATTTAGAAAAGCAACTAGGGCCCACTTTTTAAATAATTTTTTTAAAAAAATACTATTTTGACACAAATATAATGATAATAATACTAAAATACATCTTGTATTCATTTTTTTTAAATCTAAAAATCACATTGCATTAGTCGTCTATTTGGAATTTTAAAATTTTAAAGAAGAAAAAGACCAGCAAGGGGAAGTGCGGAATTAGAAATAATTTGCTAGCTTTTAACCTTGTAAATATTTAAAATAAAGGGGCTTTAAAGCAAGGAATTTAACCAGAAATCGAACCTTTAAACCGGTATTAATCGTTATTAGTTACTGAACCGAAATCGAACGGATAAAAAATTTGACACCCGAATCTGACCCCAACTCTTAAGAAATGGGTATAGGGTTAAATCTTTTGATATGGTGCCAGTTTTCAAGTTAGCATATAGAAGTGTTCTCAATCATAAAATTTATTCTTCCTTCCTATAGATATAATTTTTAAGAAGAGAATCTTTAAAATATTTTAATTGCGGCTATATTTTTTTATTAGTGATAAAATTTAAAAAAAATATATATAGTCTTTTTTTTACATAATTCTAATACTCTTTAATACAAGAAAAAATATCTAAACCCAGTTTTAAAGGTTCAACCCAAAACCGAATCTTTAGTTATATCTGGACCGAACCGATATTCGTCGTCAATGATAGATCGAAGATTTTAATTATACACTATAAAATTATCTTTTTATATATATGTATATTTATACTATTTTTCAACTTTTTTTTGAAAAAAAACAGGATAGGGAGAATAGTGAAGTTAAAATCAAATCCCCTAATACATTAAAATCTCGATATTCTTACGACAATCCAGTGGCTTACCAAGGAACCACTAGCCTTACTCATTTTTAAATTATATTTTATGGCATATCGTTTCGCATAATTTAATATTTTGATAACACCTGAATGTATACGCTAAAAATAAAAATTAAACGATTTTAATCCTACCCTTTTGAGAGAATGCGTTTTTCAATTAAAATTGATTTTCTTTTTTTTAAACCCTATACATTTCCTCCGTTTATTATTTTAAATGGATTTATTTTTAAATTTAAAACTTTAAAAAAATAAAATAATCAAATACTTTATTGAAATCGAGATAGTTCTCTTTATTAACCTTAATTGCTTGATAAATAAACGATCTTTTAATAAAGGGTTTTTCGTTCAACAAATTAAAATATTTAAAATAATTGAAGAAAAATATATACTTAAGCTATTTAAACCCTTCTCCTGGCTTTAACTTTTCCCGCCCTTCTCCTCTTTTTTTTTATAAAAAAACTAAATTTTAATAAATTTTAAAAATGTAAAATTATCCGATTTTCGTGATTGTTTGAAATTGTTATGTTGCGACTATAATTTAAAAATATTGTTATATTAATACTTATTTTCATGCGGAGATTATTATTCTTAAAATTAATATAATCACGATTTCGCGTTAAAAAAAATGATTCTAGATTCTTCATTATATTTTTTTCAATAAAATGCTTTTATTCGCTAATATGATTTGTAATAAAACGTGAATAAATTATTTTTCTGCGACCTATAAATAGTATGTCACTGTATCTGTCTTAATGGAATATAGAATTCATGTGGATTCGAGATTTCTCGATTTTAAATCATTTACCGAAATCCGATTTTTTAAAATACGACTTAATCGGAAATGTATTTCATGTGGAGAACATACCTACCTTATAAATTTCGGCAGACCAGATATTGCCTGGGATGTGAGAAATCGTATTCAGCCAATTTTACAATATTTTATAAACCAAATAAACTGGGGGTGACTAAACTGCTCATTCATATCAAATCAAAAGAAAATGAAAATAGGTTAAGCATTTTTAAAAACATAAAGAAAATGCAAAATAAGTTTTAGAAAAATATAGATAAAAGTTATCATTTTTGAAATAACAAAATAACTTTTTAACTAAATTATGCATTTATACGCCTGTATATGTTTTTTTATGCTGCTTTTAAATATTCCTTGCTAATTAATAACATAATATACACAAGAGGTGACAGAAAAGGGTCATTTTGTAAATGTTAGCTAAAAAAAAGAAGTTATTTAAAAATTATTTTAAAAAACTTATTTTCAGGCTGAGATTGCAAAGGCTAATGACGTCCTTGCTTTATCGGAATTGGAATATTATCATGTTCGAATCTTCAATATCGCTTTCTATAGCAAAAGGTGGTAACTTAGAATTAACCAAATTTGATAAATTATGTCTTTTGTTTGGCATCAATTTAATTATATCGCCAAACATAGGCATGTTCAGGATTGTGTTAGGGGGGGGGGCACTATTTTGTTGGGGTTCTTATCATAAATTATATTAAAGGTCTTTACTCTTTACGCGAAATTTTAAGCCTCATTTTTATAAAATTAATTTCGGCTTATCACCTTTTTTTATATAAATGGTTTTTTGAAAATATTTATCATTATTTAGAAAAATTATTAATTTACTTATTTTTCCTTCAAATTATTGTTTAATGATGTATTATATATTTTGAGGAGATTTTGGTGGGGTGTAGGGGGAAATTTTATATCTTAAAGTGATATTTAATAAAATAGGGATTTTTTAAGGGTGCATGGGTACTCTAGGCTTGTCCTATAATCGGTAAAACAAAATATAAAAAAATATATCAAATATAAAAATATCTAATAATATATTCGGAAATAATTCTTTTTACCAATACATTTTTATATAGTTAATTGCGTATAAATGTAATAATTATTATCCAATTTATTATAACCTGTCATATAACTCATCAAAAATGCAATCATTTATTTTTATAAATTATCTAATTAATTCCAAACCCATATGAAATTTTTCGGGCCGATGCCCCACGCGCCAAATCGTACCAATAATTGAAAAGATTAATCTTAAAAATGCATATACTAGACCCTTATTATGTATCAAAATTGATAATAGGTTTGATAAATTATTATTCCCACAGTTATTAATCAATTTTAAGATTACCTGGAAAGTAACAATTTTTACCAAACTACCTTGGCATATAAAAAGGAATGTATATGGTTAAACAATGATCATGCAGGTAATCATAATAATTTTACCATGAACGAAACCCTTTATGATATACTATTCTCATATTCCAAACTCAAGAAAGGTTTATAAATAATTTCAGATATTAATATATATTTATATAAAAGAACACAAGAGAGTTAAATCTTTGAAGGGAATTATAAACAATGTTTACACTTTAGTTAAAAAAGCCAAAAATGACATTGAGTATTTTGAAAATACAAAAGAACCTCAGTTTTGTAACAACTCTTCTCAATATTTATGTCAAAATGAAAAAACTATAGAAGATTTTAGATGTAATGAAACTTCTGCTATTAACAGTGATATTCATAATACCGCATATCCAATTGTTACAGAATGGACTCAAAATAATAACCCTAAAGATCAAAATATATATCATATTTCTAATATCATTAATCCAATATCTAGTTTAAATAATTTGATCAATACAAATTGTTTAATTAATAGCGTAACTTCTATATCTTCCAATCAGAATGCTTTTTTGCCAGCTATATTTAATAATAATGTCAATTCCTCAATCAAAAATAAGTTTTTATAATATTAAATGTTATTATTATAAATATAATATTAGCTCAGTGTCTCATGCTTTAATACATAAAAATATCATTGATAAAACTAATCACATTGATAGTAATAATCATAAAATCAATAAGCCAAATTTTAATTTAAAGGGTGAGCTCCCAAAAGATTTTGTTACTTCAATATTTAAAAAATCACCACAAGAATGGATTAAATGGCCAGTAAATAATTTATATTTTATAATAAATATATATTTTCGCAATAGAATCTGATTCAAAAATTATTAGAAGATTCAAAATTTCAAAATGCATTTGCTGATGTAATTAATAAAACTCTTTATTCCCCTAATAAAAAACTTACCCCTTTATCAATAAATAATACTTCCACAAATAAATTTGAAAATAATGATTCTATTGATAATATTAACCCTCCCAATTTGTCTTCAAATAATGGAGAAAGCTTATTTTTAAATCTTGGAAATTATGTTGATACTATTAGAAGCCAACTTAATATTATACATACTCCAGTAACTAAAGGATACTCACCAATTAATGAGAACATAGTTAGTAATGGTAAAGAAGACATTGCTTTTGTTAAACAGAATGATAGTAAGTTCACATTTTTGAATAACTTATTCTGTAAACACATTAAATTAGCAAATTCAAAAGTTGAAAATGTTATAGAAGATAATTTTAAACCCATTTTTAATGATGCAAATGACCATAAAAACGATCCTGATAATCAAGTAAATTTTTAAATTTTGCCATATTAATTTTTGGTGTGGGTAGCTAAAGAACCATTATATTTTTCCAAGTAGGTACAATATTTTTTTGAAATTAGCCCCTTAGCTGAGGTTAAGATTAAAACATAGAGATATAAATTAGGTTAATATTTATATTATAAATAATGGCTCAAAAGCTGTATGCCTATACCTGTTTTAAAAAATTATTATTAATTTGCTACTTAAAATCAATCATGAAATTTAAGAAAAACATATATAATTTGAGAATTAACAACAGAAATGTCTTGGACAAAAATTCTAACAGACAAAAAGTCACTAGTCAAGAATACTCTATTTGCTTCAATGCTTAAGGGGGGGGGGTTAATTTTAAAAATATTTGCTTTTTAAATGTATTTATTTTTTTAAATTTGGGGGTCATGATCTTTGTCTTTTTGTCTGGGATTCTGTCACTGATTCATAAATAAATGATCAACAAAATTGATAATTTTATTTTTATATAATTTTATTCTTATAAGAACACATCCATTAGCTCATTGAATAAAGATGTTATTTCAGATATTTTGGATGTCATGGAAACAGACCCTGATTTTGAATCTTTATTCAACATATTTAGTAACAATTTTTTTTGCATTTACAGAATAATTTTGATATCAACTGTGATATATCTTGTTACAAATTTTACTTGTATTGACAATAATATTTCGTTATTTAAGGTATAGATTTATTATAGAGAGCCATTTTATAAACTATCTCCAATTCATTCGATGATACTTCATAAATGCACACCTAATTCTTATTATGTTTTTCTGTTATAGCGATTAATCATCGCATGCAGTCATTATAAATTTTAGCTTGCTTTTGTATCGCATAGCTTGAGCGATACATGCTTATAATAAATAAGACCGATGTATCCCTTCGTAAATGATTGGGAATCCCAAATGGCGGAATTAGAGTTCAGAAATAAATAAAAAATGGAATTTTAATAAATATAATGCCAAAGTTAAAAATAGAATATAATATTATTAAAAAAACAATTTTAAATGTTTAAATTAATAACCATATTTTAATATAAAAATTTTTTTTAAAAAAATCCAAGTTTCGTTTACTGATTCGCTAATTAATGATTTATAATGAGCACTATACTATGAAGCGTATTGCTTATGTTGAAATCTGAAAATCATATATTGCGATGCGAATCGTTTAGTGAATGGGGCTTACTTAGTGTTGTAAAACAGTTCGATTTTTAAAAACGGGTAATCCAATATTTTAGCCTAAAATATTACGCAAACCTGGAGATTTTGCTCATAGTTGTTAGAAAGATTTGAAGATCTATTACGAAATCTTGAGACTTGCATAACATATTTGTCTAAAATATTGAGTTAGCCATTTAACATTACTAGGCTTACTATAAACGAGGATAAACTCAACAACATATCTGAGTTTTAGTGAGAGTAGCCAAGTTCTGATATCAAAAGAGTCGGGCCAATTTTTTAAAATATTTTTGAACTATGGCTACTCTAAATGACGCCCATCAATTAGTGATTTCTTATATAAAAAAGTAGTGTCATTACTTAAAAATAACGTACCCTACTTTCAATAGCTACCTTAATAACATTGCTCTCTATCCACTATTCTTAATTGCACACTAACCCATCAAATTATGTTGAAATAAATTTATTTCTACTCTTCTCCCTTCATGGCCTTAAAATAATTTTCTTAAATTCTATCTAATTTAAGTAGAATTAAATAATTTCCAATCTTTTGCTCTAATTCCAACAATATCTCAAGAGAATAATAAATAATTTTTTTAAAAAAAATATGCGAGATTTGCCTTTCTCTTTAAACCTAAAATTTTTCGATAATCTAGAGAGATATTGAAAATATGCTTTAAGTTAAAAAAAAGAGATCTTTTATATTTGTGGGGTGGAGTGAAAAGTTTGCTTAATGGAGATATTATTTATCGGCAAGACTCCTCCACAAATAAGGATGTATTCCATTTTAAAAAAAAATAGATGTTGAATGGAAAAAAAATGTCCACATGCTAGGAAAATTATTTATAAATTGACCCCAAATCCGATTTTTAAAAATAAGATAGTAAAAAAATTTTTTTGAACTTTAGAAGATCCCAAGTTTTATGATAACCGCTAGATGATTTATTCCATATTTATAAAATTTAAAATAAAATATATTTTTTTTTCTTTTTATTACATAAAAAATGCATCATTAAGACACCAAAGATTGCTTGACCGATGATGTAGCCAATTCCTTCCTAAACTTTGATCCCTCCAACATGTTCCCTAACAACCTTTACGACGAACTAATCTCTCCATGCAAGAATAATTTTGTTGCATATTCCCTCGCCAACTTTGAATCGGTCAAACCTGCCACACCTCTATCAACTTCTACTAGACTTAACAAAAATTCATTCACAGGTTTAAAAAATCAATCTTAAAATAGCACATGATTGCTTGAAATATATTGGACCTTAATGTCTAAATTTCAATCATTTTTCCTATTTGAAAAATGTTGAGTTTTAAACGGATGTGCAACGTTTTCTAGAGAGAGGGGAAGGGTGATTAAGCCATTAATTAAATATTCAAGCTGATCAAAGTTTTAAAATATCTAGATCATAGTTAGAATATTGTCTTATTTTGACGTATAACCCCACTTTAAGATTTTATGCCAAACTAGTATCACACTATTCTATCTATACGATTAACACATATAAGAATGCATAATTCGTGGAAATTGCTTTTTCTCAAAATTAACTAGTTACTTGGCATAGTTAACTTACTTGGAAACTTAGCAAAGCTGATTTTTAAAATTTGAATTATCTATAATGCATTTTTATAGTTTTATCTTAGAATCATATTCCAGCATGTATAGAATTCTATCTATGGAAATTTCATTTGGTATTAATTTTTGGTTTTTCTAAAAATCTATGTGGAAACTCTTATATAAAATTGAATATAAATTGAGTGTAGTTCAAAGGTTTACGACAAAATTGTCTGATATTCACAGCGTAGTAGTTACTAAATTTATTTTATAATTCTGGTAAATCAGGTCTTTCAAAATTTATAATTTATAATAAATGCCAGCTATAAATTTAATTTTTGAGAGATTTAATAAAAGTCCAGGTTTGTCAAACCCTAGCTACATAATTGCCTATCTATTATTTTATATATATTATAAAGTTTTCTCAATAAAGGTAGTGTTTGAAAGCTCGATTTGAGCTTATTTTTAAAAATGCTAACTCAATATGTTATACAGAAAAGATATTATTCAAGCCTGAAAATTTGCTCATAGCTGACACAATGATTTGGATAACTATTAGCGATATCTCCAGGCTTAATAATTTTCTAGCTAAATATTAAGTTCACTATTTTTAAAAATCGGCCCAAAATCGAACCGCTTAACAACACTTTACAAAATCTGACTAGCTACATTCATAATTTTCTCAAAAATCGTATCTCTGGTTATTCTAACAGCACTGATTATAATCATCTCATATTTTATAATGAATGGTCTTTCTTCATCAAGCTTTCCTCTCTTTTTTTAAAAATGGCTGCAGTCCTGATTATAGTTAAATAATTGCTACATGTAGGCTATTTCGTCTCAATCTACATGCACGTGCTTGAGAAAATCCCTCAACCTCAAGGCATTTTAATTTATATTTGTTTTTTCCACATTTGACTGCTAAATTTTTTTTTTTGAGAAAAACTCTTAGGCCAAGGTGATAATTATTGACTATACAATATAAATATAGTAATCACCCAATATAGTTCCGAGTATGGAATTATTGGCGAAATCTTTAGTAAATGTAAAAACTTATCATGTATAATAATTATTTGAAATTAACTTCGAATTATCAGGATTGTCAATTTACGAGTTCAACCCGTTTGTCGATTTTTTTTAAAAAAAAAGGATATTCGCGAAGATTTATTTAAAAATAATTACATGTAAAACCTATCTTTGGGAACCGCTGAGTTAATAAGGATTTGATGGAGACCCTAAATTTTGGTCAAATTCAACTTGCCCGAATTCCTGAGAGCCCAAATTCGACAAGTCTTACTGTTTTATATTAACACAATCAAAGTATTAAAAATTTATGACTATCATATTTTATTTTATTCGCAATTAATCGGATCAATTTGAGTTGCAATAATTTTATGAATGATCAAAAATTAAATGTTTCCCAATTTATCAAGACTAATAATAGTTAATAGGAATTTGATTGGGACTCAAAATTTTGGTCAAATTATTGAGTTGCCCGATTTATCAAGAGTTCAAGTTTTACTATATTTAATTTAGATATAGTACAATTGCGGAATTTATCGTCATTGATATACATTTATAACCCCAATCTTGGGAATGGAGATCTCAAGGAATTTTTTTTAGAAGAAGTGCACGTATAGTTGCGTAATAGTATGGGGAGGTTTGTCAACATATTGTTGTTTCTCCTGGCCATTTTTATAAAACCGATCGGATCATAATCCAAAATCCGGTACATCACTTATAAGTTTCATTATGAAATATTACTTGTAAAATTCATAATTATTTAATTCTGTTGAGTTTTTAAGAACCGATAGAAAAATAAGGAATTTGATACCAATTTAAAATTATTTTGGATCAATTGACAATAAACCACTTTTTTTTCCCCTTTAAAAAAATATACAATCTCACATCTACTAAAGACGAAAAGCGGAAAACGATTATTAAGTTATCGCAAGAAGGTATGGGTAATTTGGGTATAGCTCGTTCGCTCGATCTTTCCCGCCACCAAATTAACAGAGCCTTGAAAATTTACGCCTCAGAAGGAAGGGACTACGCTAAAAAATCCGGCGGCCCAAGATTCAAGTTGCTTCGAAAACACGTGAATTTTATAATGCAAATGCGGAATACGAATAAACGCTCGACCCTAGACGAGATCAGGACAGTATTGGAAGAAAAATTTAATCTGCGCGTTGGTAAATCGACCATAGCTAGACACATAAGCCGGCATTATGGAGGCCATCTTTCAAAAAATGATTCGTGACGTTAGATAAAGTGATTCTTTTTATGGCTGTTAAAAATAAGCGAAAAAGGAACATTTTATATTTTTGGAAGAGGGAAAAACTACTCAAACTTATTATACAAACATTTTAGTCTAACTCTCAAAATTATTTATTTTTTTTATGTTTTATAATAATCTTATTTTTTATACGTAATTTATTTTTTTTTAAAAATTTGGTATTAATTATTTATATATATATATATTAAATAAAATGATGAAATAAATCTATTATTCGAATATTTATTTGATGTTTTTATGAATAAAAGTTATTAATTTTGTCTTTAAATATAATTTATCATTTCAAATGGGTTGACAAGCGTTACAAATATAATCGACTAAAAACTGCTCACTTTTTCTATTCCGATAAAAATTATTATATGGGTTATAATTAGAACAGAAACGTAATTTGAACTCACTAACTTTTATATTACCCGAGGATATAAATGGTTAAAAAATGTTTTATGGGGGAATCCATAGATACTCGGAATCTTTCAATTTTAAACAGAGATCAAACTCGAATTAATCATCGAAACCATTAAGAATTGGTCATCTGAGCCAAAGCCTTAAAATGGTCGGTGATTCGGTTTGAACCTATTTAAAATATGCAAACTGTTTTAATGATTATTATTATAATCAATCAATTTTAATTGGTCGGTATCAGTCGCCATATTCTAAGTTAATAAATACCGTTTATTTGTCAAATTTCATATATGTAGTGTTGTTAAACGGCTCATTTTTAGCCGATTTTTAAAAACAGCTAACTCAGTATTTTAGCCAGAAAAACATTGCCTAAGCCTCGAGATTTCTCTAATAGATGTCCAAAACCTTTGTTTCTTCTGCAAACAAAATCTTCTAGCTTGCGTGATAGTATTCTGGATGGAATATTGAGTTAGCCGTTTTTAAAAATCGGCTTAAATGGAGTCTTTTAACAACCCTATTTATATGCATAGATATTTCATATAAATTTCAAAATACAAAATGTTTATGGCGAAATTTATATGAAATTCATAGGGCTCAAACTTCTTACTAACTGGAATACATTTCAGTTTAAAATCAGATTTTTCAATCTTTAAAAATTGCTCGAGAAAAATTTAAAATTGAGATATTCCAAATTCCCTTGCATATTCTTTAAAATTTTTAATAATTTTTTTATTATTACGAAGTGTGTTAGCTAAATTATATCTTTAGATCATATAGCCGCTGGTAAGATAGTTCCCCCTACAAACGATTTGCATCAGATAAAGGCAGAGAAAAATGGTTTACAGAGGTTTGAGACTATTAACCAATCAGATCTAATGAATCTAATTAACCCGAATACCCCTCTTCATTCGCAAAGTTTAAACTCATTAATGATCGCTCCACTAACGTTTAATAATACCCCCCTCGTTGCTAACCTTAGCGGTAACGTGCCTAAATCCTTCAAATCCAAACTACCTCTAAAGAGGAATAAAGGTGTGGCAGCCAACTTAAAAAATGATAAATATAAGGAAGAACTACAAGGGTTGATTCAACTTCGTCTTGATAACATGCGAAAAATTTTGCCCAAAGAAAGTGCTCCTCCTTTTCAAATTCATCTTAATAACATGCGAAAAATTTTGCCCAAAGGAAGTGCTCCTCCTTACACTTCTGCACAAATTTCTAACACCTCAATCTATCCCACTAATCATTTTGCAAATATTAGTTGTGATGTCACTACTCTGGTTGATGAATCAAAATCACGCGTTAATAAGACCACTTCTTATAAGAATGAATGCAGAGACGATCATATCGATAAATTAACAACTAATCCTGACTCTGTTTTACCCATACAAAACGAGGAAGAAAGGGAAGTTTTAAATTTCTTGATATCTTTATCCAGCAAGAATATGGATAAAACTCGCGATTTTTCTGGTGATGACGGATTGGGAAACGTTAATCAGGAAATTAAGGTACCGAGCAATGCGTGCAGAAAGGAAAATTTTAAACATCTATTGGAACCAGATTTTGAAGAAACTAAAATCGGGAATACCAATCACAGTCACGCGAAGCGTAAAAAGAAAAGGGTGAGTTCATATATAATTTTACTATTCCTCAATTCTAGACCAATATTATAATGAACTATTTTTGTAAAATTTGTTCATTTTACGACTCCCCTACCCCCCCCCCCCTCTCCCTTTCACAAGATTTCATCTTAAATTATGTTAGATCGACAGGTATTGTGCTATAAAATTATTAATTTAGCTTTATTAGAAAATGAGATTACGAACTAAATTATTCAGAATATTATCTTTTTTAAGAAAAATATTGGAGTGATCACTAAAATCTGACTCGGTGCTTAAATTATTAACTTATTTTCATGTATATTATTAAAGTTTAAAAAAAAATCTGCTATTTTAAAATTAATTAAAGTTTTATTAAGTATCAGCTGTAAATATTTAATAAATTCTAACATATTTTTTGGATATCATTGGTATATATTTTAAGATTATGATTGGCATCTATACATAATAGATAAACATATATTTAGCTTTGTACAAGGCACTCTATTAAAATCTCCTTTGTAATTAAGATATGTTTATTAGTATATTGGTTCTAAATATCGAAATTAAAATGGCTAAGACTAGGGGAGATTTTCATATGTGTCATCTAAAATCTCTGAAATAATAGTGATATTTGTTCAGGAAGGGTAATACTTATATTTTAAATTAGTTTTAAAATAAATCATCAAAATGGGAAAACTTTCTTAACCCTTATCAGAATTTTTATAAAGAGTTTATCGGAATGGAAACAAAATTACCTTAAGATTGTATTCATAGTGATATCCGATCCGACACGTTTTACAGCTGATCTATTTTAAAGAGTTTTATGAGACCAATTTTTCTTTAATATTAATTCTAATTCTATTCAGATAAATAATCTAAGAATTATTGATTTTAATAAAGAAAAATTGATCTCATTAAAAATTTTTAAATCACTTAGTTGTTAAATCGTCTTGGATCGAATCGCTCTATGAATCCAGCCTAAATACTATATTTCATATTTTTACTTTTACAAATAATCTATTTTAAAAACATCCAATAATCAATATTTTTATTCAATTTATTAAACTAAGTATTAGTTTGAAACTTGTTTCCAAATAATAATTTATTTCTACGAGTCACTTCCAAAAAAAATGTTCATATCTCAAAGATTATTCGATATAAATGCATGAAACTTTTCAGAAACATAGTTTAGCTTAAAATAGGAGTTCACAGAAAAAAAACTGATCAATATATTGACAGGTTTCTTGTATCAACAATTTAAAAATCTGTGGTTGTTGCTATGCCCCAATCATGACATAATACCTAGACTGACGATACGTCATTTTTAAAAACCTATATAGTATCCAGAATACTTTAAATTATATGAATTTGGTCTACTAAATACATATTTTCCTGTGAGAATGGAATGATTGTGAGGTAGTATATTGTTTTACTTTAAAATTTTTTATATATGCCATCCATAACCAAAATGGCGTCTTAATGGCTTCCTCAGCTATTTTTCATTGATATTCACTTTTAGTGAGTGCATGGCCAATCTAGGTATGTACCATCATCGATGGTTAAGTATCTCAATATTATTTTCAAAGATATATAAAAAAAATTGAACGGAAACTTACTCAATGTACTGTGTTATATTTCAATTAAAAATTTATAGGACGGTAAGAAAATTTTGTCAAGACTGGCTGATAGCGAGATTGACTGGTTTCTCAACAAGATTCATTCATAATAAATACTCATTATAATTGTGTATTATATGTTAATATTTATATTGTTTTAAATTATTAAATAAAAAACCTTGTTGCCGTGTGCTTCGACAGATAATTTTTATTTTAACCTTATATACAAAAACCTTTTCAATTTTAAAGGTCAATATTTATGTTAAATCTAATTAGAAAAATTTGTCACCTTTTTTTAAAAAAATTTTTTTTTAACACAGATTTAAACATTTGCTCGGCCATCACGATAAATTATAAATTAATATTTAGCAAGTACACAAGAATATAGAAATAATATTTTGTCCATAACTACTCTGGTTCTTCGCCGGCTTCAAATGAGGCTTGAGTCGGTGGTTTATTACCCCCTTCTTCGTAATCTGAAACACTCATGGCTGGTGCTGGACCATTGGTGGGTGGGTAAAGATCATCTTGAAATCCCGAGTCTGGTCGGCGGGGTACTATCATAGAAAGAGGTTCTACGTAATTGCCGTTGGCGTGCAATTTAAAAAATCGAAATATTTCGCATTTGCCAGTAGCAACGTGTCTTTTGTTCATGTATCTGTTGCAAAATGTGATCATAGATCATATAATATACATTTATAAGTTGTGTGTAAATGATTTAAACTAGTAATCTTAAGGTACGAAACTTGTTAGGTTTGAAAAAAATATTAAATAAAGGTTGTGTTTTAGTTATTACCCAACGGCTCTCTGAGGATTATTAGACGAGTACTGATTCAACCCGATCAAGTGAGGTGGGCTGTTCCTCAACTCGTAATAACGAATGTTGGCGTCACCTTTACCGGCAATGTATAAAATCGATAAATCTTGATCGTAAAATGGATAAAGTGCACCGGGTCCGCTATCGATTATTTCCAAATGTACGGGCCCTTCCCTTTGTTGTGTATCATTTTTTAAAAAAAAATCAAATGCAACAATTGAATACCATTGGAATCGAATATTTTAAACTAAGACAAATGATAACCCTGATAATAAAGATCATAAGATGCTAGATAATCTAAACAAATCGAATTTGGTTAAGGAAAAAAATGGCATAAGCTTACGCTAAATTTCTCTGGTCCCAAACGGATACTTGCCTTTCACTCGTGCGGGAAAATCCGGTAGTGCAGATATAAGGGGTTTTGCCTAGCCACACAACTTTCATGCATTTAGCGCCTAAGTTAATTTATGACATTAATTTCACGATATAAGTATTTGGGATTTTTTTAAAAAGTATTTTCATATGTATTATGGGGAGTAAGGAGGATTACCAAAATTATTTAAAAAATTATAACAACCAAAAACCTAACAATAAATGAACAAGCCCCCAAGTAAAATTTATGTGGAGCCTAATAGTTCTTTCATTTTAAATCCTGGGCTACACATATAGATTATAGAATAAACAAATATAGTAACCTGCATGAGCCACGACTGAATCATTGGTCTTGGCAGCTCTGGGATCTAATATGTAAAGAGTTTTATTTTTTGTAGTAGCAGCTGCTAGGGAGCCATCGAAATACCACGAGACATCGTAAACCGAATCGTCTAACATGGTGGTCTTGAAGGCTTTACCTTTTTCGCAATTCCACACTATTACCTAAATATAGATGAGATTTTACTTAAAACTGAACAGCGATATCACATCAGCGTTACTTTGGTATAAGTTTATGGGCCGACATTTTCGATTTTGACCATTATTAGGTCTACTATGGGCATGTTTTTTCCGGCCCGCCACTATTACGAGTGGACGGGCTGAAATATTTTAAACATTGGGCTGGTGAGCAGGGGGAACAATAATTTTTTTTAAAGGGTGGGCAAATGAATTTTAAGAAAGAACTATTGAGATAGTTAAAAATTTTTAGAACAATAGGCGGTTAGGCCTTCAGTTTAAAGACGCCTCTATACGAGACCTCTAGATGATACCCAACATACTCATAAATTGCAAAAGAATATTGGCATACATCCGATAAGAAATAAAAATTTATTCATTAATTTCTAAACAGATAAGAAAGGAAAAAGATATCGTGTTTAATTTTTTTACTTTTTCTTTCTTTCTTTCTTTCTTTCTTTCTTTCTTTCTTTCTTTCTTTCTTTCTTTCTTTCTTTCTTTCTTTTTTTCTTTCTTTCTTTCTTTCTTTCTTTCTCAGAACAGATAATTAAAAAGGGTTAATCAATATTTATTCTTGGTAACTTAGTGGTTATAACAAAAATAAATAATCGTTTATTTGCTTTTGTTATATATTTTTGAAAACTCTTCTACATAAAGTAAAACTCAATGTCAGTAAGATGATTTAATTGTATTAATCACCTTTTCATATATCCATTTACTGAATTGAAAAAACAATAAATCTATTTAAACAAATGTTTCAAATAAATTATATCATCTTTTTTACCGCCTTGTCGTAAGCGCAACTAATCAGTGTATCGTTGGCCGACGGATGCCATTCTACTTTAACACATTTTTTCTTGTGGGCGGTAAAATTAGTTATATATGACTTGCAATCGGCTGTCAACCCTTCCTCCGGAACGTCCCATAGCTTTATCGAGGCGTCTTCAGAGGCGGAAGCTATGATATTATCCCTAAAATTGGACCATCTTAAATCGTAGACTGGTCTAGTATGGCCTACGAATCGAGGATACCTTTCATCAACGCGACCGTGAAATTTCATGGGAAAAACTACGAAAGCACCACCACCTTGAGAATGAACGGCTATCGCTAGCCATTTCCCTGATTATTATTTTAGAAAATAAATATTAAATAATGCTTTCTTTCGCAAATGTGGTTTAATGAATAATTTCAAATTGTGAACTATTGACCAGAGTCTTGAAGCCGACCCGAAAGACGCATTATTTTAAAAATTCGTACTGGGCTTAAAAATGGAAAAATTGCAGACCTATTCATATTTTTACATTCTTTTTAAATAACTTTTAAAATGCAGCTTAAATTATTTAAAATAACAAAATTTAAAAAACCCGGCTATCGTAAAATATTAGAAATGGTTTAAATTCGGGCTGAGTTTGAAAATAGATCTATGCAGTTCTCTGATATAAATTATTGCCATGGCGAGGCCCAAAAACAATCTATATCCGAATATTCAAAAGAAACATTTCAGTTTTAACATTGGCCATTATCTACTCGAAGCTACCCAATTGATTTTAGAAAATCAATGTTTAGAAAAATCGAATGAATATTTTATAACTTTAATACACTCTAAATGGAGTGATCTAAATAATAGAAAATGACGGATGGACGGAAGGAAGGAAGGAAGGAAGGAAGGAAGGAAGGAAGGAAGGAAGGAAGGAAGGAAAGGAAAGGAAGGAAGGAAAGGAAAGGAAGGAAGGAAAGGAAAGAAGGAAGGAAGGAAGAAAAGAAGGAAGGAAGGAAGAAAGGAAAAGGAAAGGAGTAGGAAAGAAAAGAAAAGAAAAGAAAGTGACAGAAATTCTATCGAACTTGGCCTGATAGGATCGTCCAATAATTTTTTTAAGATTGACTTGGACCAATTTCGAAAAAAAATTTAGGAAATTAATTACTCTGATTGTAATGGTCGGACAAATTTTTTTTAATTTTTTCTTCAGATCGATTTTTTAACCCGAAAAATAAGTCCAATGGAAAACTCTAATTATGTAATTTTTTTTATATAAATGAATATATCAATAAGCTTCAACTATATCAGAGCCAAGATATACTTGACAAGATTCATATATATATATATTAAATTGGTAAATATAATAATATAGTGATAAATTAAATCATGATGAATACTATTCAAACATAATCCTTCATTTAAGCTTATTAAATAAATTAATCATCTATTAATTTTTAAAATATAAAGCCCAAATTATAAATTGCAATTTAAACCATACCGATATAACAACAAAAAAAGTATCACTATCGATATTTGCAATTTTTTAACGATAATTTCGGTATAAATATAAATAAGATACAGAATCCTAATGCATAACATTTCATTTTACCGCGAATGTTGGAGATTTATTTACATTAGAGTTTTGCAAAAATAGGCCCGGCTAGTACCCGGCCCTAACGGACTTCGGGCCGGGCAGGGCCTAATATTTTTTAAGCAAATTCCGGCCGGGTTGGGTCGAAATTTTTTAACATATATCTAAATTTATCAATTTTATGTTGAATTTTTTATGTAAATAAAAATAGGTGATTTTATTTAAAGAAAGTAGACGCCAAATAACATATATCGTTTATTTTGAGTAATTATAAAAATTAATTTCTATATTTAAATAAATTCGGGCCGGGCCAGCAAAATTTTTTTAAAAAAAATTTCGGGTTCGGTTCAGGCCAGGCCGGGCAAAACTTTATAATAAAAATTTCGGGCCGGGTTTGAAAAATTAGGCCTGATGCAGATCACTAATTTACATCACATTTAAAAATTCCTAAGAAAAATTACTCTGAAACTATCATTTTTAATTTATAAAACTTTTTAGTTAATTAAATATTGTAGGGTCTTTCTTTTAAATATCAGATAAATATATATTTTTTTATATCAATCGTGATATTTGCCGATAGGCTATAATAATGTTTTGATTGATAATATATTATGAAAATCTGGTTATTATTTTTATGTTATGTAAAATTCATTAATAAAACAAAATTGGGATCTAAGGAGAAGCTATACACACATGAAGCAATGGAGGATTTAAGTGGGCCATAAATTTGTAAGTAAGCAATCATAAAAGTGGGGTGGGGGGGGGGGTAAACGAAATTTAAGCTGATTTTGACATTTTTAGAATGATTACCCACCACGACATGATTCAAATAATGATGGATTATATGATGGGTGGGCAAAAAAGTAATAAAAAATTTATGATAAAAGTTGGAATAAAGGCTAACATTGCAAGTAGAATTCTTTCAAAAGGTATGAGCCTAACGGGAATGGTAATCCTTCGGAGATATGAATGGTAAAGAAAATGACGAATTCGATTTTTCAATACATAACATATTAAATCTAACTGATCTTAACAGATGTTCAAACAATGTTTGTAAGTATTTAATTTCTTAATAATTTAATTCTTTAAAAAAAATTATTAATAATATCTCATCATTTGCATAAATTTACCGTTAGAGTGGCAATATTGTGATTCATAAGAATTTTTTGTTATAGGTACCCCATCCCACCCTTGGTCCCTGTGATCTGGAACGCTTCCATAAACATTTCTCAGCTTGGCGGCTGGATTCATACTCACTAGTTTACTAATTTTGAAAGTTTTATCGCTTTAATATTTAAAATTTAGTCTTGATTTGTAAATAAATGCAAGTCTCGTTTGAATTTAAGTTAGGAGGATCACTTCTCCCGAATGAATAACATCCAATGTAACATTAATAACCGATTTCGAAGTAACTATAAACATTAATGAGATTTAAAGGATTATTTATAATAAAAAAACCTAATTAAAATAAGGTAAAATTAATTGATTGTTGGTTTTACTTGCGATTTTCATATATTAAAATGAATTGTTGACGTTTTAAAAGTGAATTTTTAATTTAAAACATAAAATATATATTGTTTTAATTTAAGGAAAATATTTCACAAACAGTATATGCCAAAAGAAAAACAAATTATAAATAATTTTAAATTTTTTAACGCATTAGTATTTTTTTTTATATTTTATATAAAGAAATTTAGAAATTCTAGAAGTATAACCTCTTTTATAAATAAAAATGGTTAACATTAATATTATGACAAAGTAATAAGTAAACTTGTATATTATGATTTATTGTAAACTTTCTTAGTGTTTTTATAAAACAAGGAAATCTTAGTTGAAGATAGAATGTCGAACTTTTTGATATATAGGTTCAGTTGGGTTAACTTAAGTTTCCCGGGAGAAAAAAAATATATTAAGGAATTGTTTATAAATGTTTAGGCTAGGTTTCAGTTTCTAAGGCCGTGTCCTGGTCAACTTAATTTCGATATTTAATTACTTTCAGTAGAGATTAAAAAACTTTAGAACAGAGTTTCAAAAAAAAATCTTCCCAGATTTTTGCTCAAAATATTTTAAAATCTTCATGATATTTTTTGTAAAAAATCTCGTGGGATTAAATCTTGAGATTTTTTTTAAAAATTATCTGCAAATATCTTAAGATTTCTTATCATATTTTTTTGGGAATATCGCTCAAAGATTTTTTAAAATTTATTATTTTACTTATTTTTCGATAAAATAATTTGATGTAAATATTTGAGTTAATATTAAATATTTTTTTGAATTTTTATTTTAATATACCTTTAAAAAAAAATATATATAAAAAAATTAACATTAAAAATAACCTATAAAATATTATAATAAAAAGAAAAATTCAAAAAAATATTTACATCAAATTATTTTATCGAAAAATAAATAAAATAATAAACATATAAAAAAAATAATAAATCTAAAAAAAAATCTTTGAGCGATCTTCTCAAAAAAAATGATCAAATAGTTTTAAATAATCCAAGACTTTTTTTAGTAATAAAATCCCTAAAGATTCAACCCTATAGGATTTTTTAATATAAAAAATCTAAAAATTTTGATCTTCAAAGATTTTTGTTCAAATTTTTAGGGAGAAAATATCCTCAAAATTTCCCTGCTTTTAACCAGGGCAATCTATTTTGTTTAAGTATTTGGTAACATTGTTATTTTTTGTATTATATTCTCGTTTTTTTGTATTTTGGTTTAAATTTTTATTCATTTGCTTTTTAGTTATTTATCAATAGGTCGGTCGACCTAGGACATGGCCTTAAAACCTTTAATGAAAAATTCATAAAGATTTAAAATTATTTATTCAAATCAAATTTTTATTATCAATTTTTATTTGTATATAAAATTATTAGTACAATGTATAATTAAAATAGCATATAATGTATCTCCATGCAATCTTATCGCTGTGGTTATAGAATATATATTAATCCTGAAAATTCCCTCCTGACCTAAACCTAGGTCACTGGAATAGACGTGGCTGTTATTGCTAATAGATAAAGTTCGGGTTTCTCTAATTTTCTTCCTTGCCTCATATGCAAGGATATTTAATAATCCGGTAAATAACAGGCTAAAGATTTTTTTATAAGGGTATACCACCTTTATTCGCTCTTGTTTTGTAATATGTTACATATTGTTACTTTTTTATTCCCTTTCATCTGCAATATTAACATTGTCCATAGGGCCCGATTAATTATTTAGACTTTAACTTCTGGAAAAAAGAAGTGAATTGTCTATCATTATACATTCGTCATCAAGTGCTTCAATTATATGCCAGATTTGTATAAGATTTTTTCTTTAGCTCTACTTTTTTTTCTTCCCACCTGACAATATATAGATATCGGGGATCAAGATTTTTCAGTTTATCTCTCTTAATTTTATGGATGATATTAGAAAATATTATATTAGGTTTCTCTATTTCAATCGTAAATTTTAAGTGAGACGAATAGAAATCACTTAAAAATGCATATCCTCCATTTTAATTACCCGATTTAGGTATATTTTTAAAAACGACCTGATTAAGATTTTAGACATATTATATAAGCCACGAGATATGGCAAATATAAGTCCAAACTTTACCATATATGAGCAAAATCTCCAGGCTTACATAATATTATTTTGGTTAAAATCTTAATCCGGCCGTTTTTAATAATAGATCCAAGTCGGACTTTTTAACAACATTATTTAAATTCGACAATAAAATTCAATTAAACTTTCAAAATTTAGATGAACACACCTAAATTAAATATATACTCTTCAGTTTAATAAGCGTTAATTTTTTTGTTATATAGTTCTTTCGTATTTATTAAATATAATATGTAATGTATACTGACATCCTGTCAAATACAGATTTTTGATAATTCAAAGTCGAACACAATAACAATTTCAGTATTCGTCACAATTTGAGCTTATCGGATTAGAAATCAACATTCAATTCGGACAGTATAGCAGATGTAGCAAAAATATGAAAAATGCATATGGTATTAATAATTTATTAGATAATGCCTTACGTTGTTAGAATATTAAAGTCTTACCAAACACAGCCCCACCAGATTCAACGAAATAAAAATATTGGGATCAAGGATTGGTATCTCGTTCCTTAGCTTACCTCAACTTGAGCGATGATCACCAACATAAATTCCTCATAAGATCTCTTAATTTCAACAACTCTGGCCATGAATGGTTAGATTCATATCCCAGTATTTAAAATAACCAGCTGATAGATAACGACGATTTTCGTTATGCAATCAATTTACGCTTGGGCGTACCTTTCCTAAACCATTATATTTGCATTAAATGCAATCAATCGGCAGAAGCGTATGGGAGACACGCTCTCCACTGTAAATTTATAACAAAAATCAGCCGACATGATAAAATAAATGCAATAATAGCATCTTTTTTAAATAAGCCAATTCTCCCTGTATTTTAGAACCTACATCCTTTTTAGATAAAAAAGGCCCTGACGGCAAAACCGTCGTACCTTTTTTCATGGGAAAGCCTTTAATGTGGGATTTTACTTGCAATGATCCCTTGGCTCCATCTAATAATTCCCATGATCCTCTTAACAGAGCCGAATCTCTAAAAAATATAAAATACTCACACCTAATGTGTGATAACCACTTTGTTGCTCCTGATCTTTTGGACAAGCGGCTTTAGATCTATTCAAAATAATATCCAAATCTATAAAAAAAATCATACCTTTCTCCATTTTACAAACTCAAGCATAAAATCGCCGTATCTATAATTAGATCTAATTATCAAATATTTAAAACATTATGGCCCGACCCCATTTGATATTTTTATTTATTTTATTTTAAATGTTTTTTTCTCTTTTTTTATAAAATTCAATCTTTTTTTGTTTTTTTAACTTAAACGGATATATGACATATTTTATTATATTCTCTATATTATAAAGTTAATTTTTAAACAATAATATTTTATCATATTTGTATATGAATTTTAATAAAAAAAATTGAATTTTATAATGAAGATTTTAGGTATGTCGCTTATAGTTTTAGATCTTCTTATTAAAAATATATCTGAAGTAATTTTAAAAGTATCTTTAATCTTGGTAATTAATTTGAAAGTTGAATGAGGAAAAATTTTTTTTTTTTAATTATAATAACAGAAAAACAATATAAAAAATTAGGGAAACTATAGGGTGAAATTTCCAGAAAAACATTGAAATTTTTCATATTTCCTAGAGAATTTCTTCATACGCCCATAGTTAAATCTAAAATAAAAATATTGAAACTAATAGCAATTTTAAGTGTAATAGATAAAAGGTGGTAAAGGAATGAAGCTTGAACCCTAAAAAATAAAAAATAAATAGTCCATTAATAATATAATTGAAAATAAAATTTTAAAAAAATTATTTTACCTGCTCTGGAGGCCCTAAAATAAAGGATTAAAAGTTTGAAAAATCGAAACCCAACACATTCGTTTATGAACGTTTTAATATCTCCCCCCCCCCCCCCAGTAACTTAACTTTCTGAAATGTGTGGTGTGAGTGATAATACTAAATAAACTTATATTAATCTTAGCTAAACCTTTCCCTAATTAGGGCAATTTATTTATTTCAGATTATAACTACCATATTACGAATCAAATAATAGATCACTTGCATACTTTTGCGTAATTAAAACATTATTCGATCCGAAAATATTCATTATTAAAATTATTTTTAAAAATGAAAATATGAGCTATTAAAAATAATAAATAATTGATTGTGGAAATAATATTAATTCCACAAGAAATATGTTAATAATCTTTTATGAATAATTTCGGTTAGATACATAGATAATTTCGAATTGAATAGATAAGAATAAAAGGAATAATTTCAAATAATTCGTATGAAACAATGAAAAGCTATTATTAGAAGAATAAATTTTTTCCCATTATTAGTGTGCTATTTTGATTTGATGAACGAAGTTTTTTTAAAGATATAAATCGGGTATGCGCGCTTTTCTCTATCTTATAAATACTTCCCGTAGATGCTTGTATATTAACAAGCCAGTCTTATTTATAAGTTAAACTGGTAATAGCATTCTGCCCAAAAAATATGGATAGTTTTTCTTACCCCGCATTCACATTTAGAGTGAATTCGCGGCGAAGTGGACAAATATATCAAAATTTGCCGAGCAAAAATTAACAAAAAATGGCTATGGCCGCAAATTCGCGCTCCCTTAATATTTGATCCAAGCTTAGGCAATGAGGGAATCAAGTGT